TTCTTTTCACTTTTTTTAATGCCCACGAAAATCTAGACGACGTATCGGAAAATTAATCATTTTATGTGGTAGGCAATTAATTAACCTACAATTCAAGGCATCTAAAGTCATATTTCACCAATTTATTAACAGTAAAATAAAGGTTAAACGCGGAAAAATCAGTTTTCGAAAATTGCGCATTAGTATTGTAAAAAGCCATGGATATTGATGAAATTTATGGAAAATACAGTCAATCCAACGAACAACATGTGTACCAAAAGCCGATTCGATTGGACGTGAAATTGTTGCTCCAGGTATTTGTAAATTAATTTTGTTCGTTTTTTTGCAACTAGTTGTTTAACTACATCGAAGGAGCGCCAGACCCGCGTATATCCGTGAACATCACTGTGGGTCTGTGACTTGAACGTTTCAAATTCGGTTAAAAATCGAGCGCGTGACCGAGGGCGACGTTCATGCGCATGCGCGGACCCGAAAGGCTCAAACTAAATAAAATCATCGGAACAATGTAAAATTAGAACATAGAAGAATTCATAATCTCAGTGGAGATTTACCGGTTTACATTACATGTATAATGTTATTTTACTTCAAAGCTGCCAGATCATATTTAATATTTTCTGAATTATAGTCAAAAATATATTTTCTATTGTTTATGATTGCTTCTCAATGATTGGGTTTCTATTCCAGATCTGAAGAAGTTCGATGATTTGGAAGAGAAAACTTCACCAAGGCAGTTTTAAAAACGTGACGTCCGTCGTCATTAAAGGAGATCTTTGTTCGATAAGAAGTGGAAATGATCAAATGATATTCATCAAAATCAGATGATTTTTCTGAATGAGTCAAAATGGTTTTCTTTGATACGAAAAAACTATTTTTAAGCCATACTTTCTCCAATGGCGTTTTCTCAGTAAACGGCATACATGGTTCTAGTGGCATCGGATGTTTGACGTTCCATTTTTTTAGCAAATAATTTATCTTTGCATAAATTTATAAGCTCGAAGACTTTTAATTAGCAGTATAATAAAAAACTTGGGCCTATGTCTAAGAATTGATGGACACCAAAAACGCTCTTATACTTACCATAATTCCAATACATTCAAACATATGTTAGTAACCGTATATTTGCATAAAAACTATGATACTGTTACTCTTTGTTTCTGTTGGCCAATATACAACGTTTGTTTTACAACTTTACAGTCTTTGAGAACTGATACGTCCGTTCTGCTAATTATCACTGTTTGAAAGTGATGGATTGTTTATAAGTAAACTAAATTTTACAGGATATTACATTAAGATAATTTAAACATAATAATATTTGTGGCGTAATTCAAATTTAAAGATTTATTTTCTCACGAACTGTTTACACATTAATCGGTTTTGTTAGTCATGTCTAACTTACATTTATTTTTATATAATTCTCATCAAAAACCTCAAGTTTGAGTAATGATCAATAAAATTGAGTATATATAGCAACTATTAGTATTTAAAGTAACTACCTGAAACATCTGCGTTCAAAGTGAAGCATTTTATTGTAAATAAAGAAAGATAACCATCCCGATTTTTATGGACGATTTAAAAGTTTTACTATCGGCAGCATGTAAAGACGTCAAACGCCTGGTAAATGTAATTTGTTCACAAAATTTTGGGTCAACTTCCGGAGAAGCCAATAATTTTCTGTTTGAAATATATTTTCCTCAAAAATAATACTGCTTTGTACTTTGAAAATATATTTTTACGTCGAAATTGAAACCGCCTAAACATTAAAATGTAGAAAAACAGTAAAATATAATTCGCAATATGTAATACAGTCGTAATGAGTGAAATTCTCTGTATTGGACCCAAACAAACAAAAAATATACAATACTTTGAATTACAATACAATTGGAACTGATTTTGAGAAAAAAGAGAAAAAGCAATAAACATTATTTTTATAACTGCTTATAAATAATGGTAGTGGATTGCAAAATAAAAAATATTGGTGATTATAGGAAAAGGTATACATGTTTTTTAATAATTAAGTGATACAAAAAAATTTAAATACGTAAAAAAATATTTCTTTCCGCTCTTGAATTGGCTAGCTCCTAAAAGAGACTGCAGTTTGACTACAGTGACTACTAACAACAACAAGTTACATATTCGTGAAAAGTCGAGAGCGCACTGTGTTGTTTTTGATTATTTCGCTTAAATGTTATCGTTTTATGCTTGGTTTTGTGCCACGGAATTATTAAGTCATCAATGATCATGTTGAATAACACTGAATATCTTGATTCAACATTAATTAATAATATCTCCTGTGCCACACATGATGACAAATAAAATGTTTAGTGAAGTACTCCAACCAGGAATTGGAAAAATTCCTGAACTATTTTTATACACAGATATAGCAAAGACTACTAAATCAGTCATAGTTATCACTGTTGACTTTCGTACTAAACATAACAGAGAAAATAATTGGCGGTTATGGGTTTCTCATAAAATTGTCAATCGGTTTGCCTATGTATCAGGAAAATCGTGTGAAACAGCCGTACATCAATTGTATGGATCATCTCTACTGTAGGATTTGATTGGAGATTTGACAAACCAAACAAAATTATTTGTATCAACAGATCCTGAAATTATCGAGGAGAGGTGTTGAATGAATTTTCCAAGGGAAAATCGGAAAAAACTACGCTCTTGCCTTTCGCAAAAAACTCACACATACGATTGAGTATGAACCAGGATGTAGAATATCTAAGAGGTAACACTAGATATCAAACTAACTTGTGCATAAACAAAAAACTTAAAATAAGGAAAAATGGCACTCATGACGGCCATACGAGCAATAGGAAAAACATGGTGTCTATATCCACGCATGGTATACAGATTGTGCACGGCTGTGTACTATGGACCTTAACCCACGGTTACAGACGGCTCTAGAATTTGGTGGTCAAAGACCAATCAAAGAACCAAACTCTAAAATCTGGCCTGTTTTTGCATTACGGGTGTTATGAAAATCTTCCTCTTTTAAACCTTTTATTAAAGTGGAAAAAATGAGGACTTGCAGTCTGAAATGTAATGGAAACTGCTGTATGGGACCAACATCTCTTATAACAAAAATAATGGCTTAGGCTCAAGATTAACAGTGATTATATTCCCATAAAGTTGAACTTTGAGACACCTTACAATACTCAGCTAAACAGGGATGGACAGGTAGAAACATCTTGTCGGCTTGGGACAATAGTATGATACACTGATAGATCCAAAACTGATAATAGTACTGGAACAGGAGTACATGGCGCAAGTCCTATACTCAGAGATTTGTGTTTCGGGGAAGCAACACAACTGTATTCCAGGCTGAAGGACACGCGGCTTTGTCTATGGGAAAATATCAGGATATAAAGGCAAAAAGATCCTTATCTAATCCGACAACCAAACACGGTCATAACGGTCTGTGCACATATCGACGAGACGGCACGGGATAGCTGCGAGACGAGTGTCCCAAGAGATTCGTAGATATTGAAGTCACACTCTAACGGGACACATACGCATACGACTCTAACGGCAGTTTTTTCTGAACATTCTTATGTGTTCTATCTAAAAATGTTTTCAAATATTACAGATAATGGTAGCATTAGCGTTAGAAGGAGAGGAAACATGTAGAAGGAAAAAATATCGACCATTCAACGGCATTAAAATACATATATACAACTGTTTACTACGCAGCAAACGAGCACAGGAAAAAAATCGTCGACTCATTACCGTCGATGGAATTGACGTATCGCGCTCGTCAAGTTGATACGAAGCTGAATACATTTAAACCTGTACTTCTATTTTAGAATGGACGTCGTGTGACAATCGTCCTGAGTCTGTCTCGTCAATGTGTGCCAAGACTTTAAAGGCTCTAGCACGAACTAAGATCACTTTTGGAATTGGTCTGGAAAGCCTCCTAGTTCTTACTCAGAGGAGGCCAGGATAAGAAGGAATGCTGAGCAATGAAGAAGTAGATATCCTAGTAAGAAAAGGACATTTATAGCCCCTGAACGTGCCTTTGGCATTTCAAAAGCATCGGTACATAGCGTAACTGGATGGATGGAACTTCAACAGCAGTTGCATTGGAGATATACACCGATGCAGGAACGTAGCAAATCGATGGTCAAAAAACCATTGGAAAATCTAACGGATGACAGAAGTTACGTCAAGTATGTTAGTGAAGGCAGTTCAAAACCTGATGAAAACAATAAACCTCACTAAGAGTAGTCAAATAGCAAACAGTGTTGGGGCCATCGACCTCTGTTGTGCTTAAGCGTAGATTTACCATGCATTGGATTTAATCGCAACAACACGTCAACGCAAATATCTCATTCATTGGCACATCGTAATCTGGAATTGTTTGCTTATCGGAATCATAAGCATAGTATCCTTTATGTCTATTATTAGAACTGCTAATAAAATTGGAAATTCAAAATAAAATATTTTGTGGATATTTTTTGCACAGAACGATCGAAAGTAAAAAAATGGCGCAACACATGAAATACTCTACTCAACTGAAATATGAGAGTTATGTGTTACCATAGGTATTTTTGCCTATAAAAATATTTACAATGGAAACTCCCTGTTCGATCTGCAAAATCTGTGCCATCGACTTATCAAATTTTGACATCGTAAACCGTTTTCCTGCAATAAATATCACATAATTCCATTTTATCCTCATGAAATATTCATCGTATTGGCACGTATCCATAATATTATATTTACCGATCGATCAATATGAGATTCCCTTTTCCAATTTTATTAGGTTTTAAAATATTTTGGAAGTTCAAATCTCAAATTCCTGGATGTGTGTCAAGTTAAATTAATAGTTGAGAGGAAATAAAATTAAAATAGTTTGAGAGGAATAATAACTATTAAAAATTGTTAATTTAAATTGCTGTATTATTATTCCATTCTCAAATGATATTCGGACAAAACTTTATAAATTTATTATCAATCAATTGGCCAATTAATATTTCTAAAGTTATATTTACCCTACTGGAAACTACTTCTGCACCCTGTAGTACTGCATCAGTCACTGTTGAACATAGATCACTATATATTTCTTCTAATTCCTGAAACAAAACAAACACATTATTTTTAATGTACCACTTATACTTGAAGAATTTGTTTACTAATACACATTTCAGTTTATTACTATATGAACTTTAAATTATTTTTCACAGTTTAGGGAAAATTAGACACGTTCCAATTATTTTAACAATTATTATCAGAAACAGAAATATACAGGGTGTGCCCAGTTCGGGTTGCCTATACCTGAAATGGATACAAAATTTCAATTGTCAAAAAAAATCATTCTTCATAAAAATTTTTGCTTGTACAGAAGCCCTTGGCAAGATAGTTATTTGTTCAATTTAATGTATAGGGTGTTCAAAAATTTGGGAAAGGTAAAAACAATGAAGAGTAAAGTACCTTAAATTTTAACACTACGTAAAAAAGTAATGGGAAAAAGTTGCTTGGAATTAAATTCTATGTTTAAATATGAAAGCATAGCCTTCTAGTTAATACTCGACATTCTGGGATATTCTAAGACCCTATTTATTTTTTAATACTTTCGGAGAATCCATTCTATTTAAAAAATATTGCTTTATTGAAAAACAGATACACATGTTTGCATATTAATAATTTATTTTGTATACAGGGGGATCAAAAACTACAAAAACATTAATCCAACATTTATTTTGAGAATACAGCAGGATCAGTACGCGCCATTACAAAATTATTCTACATAAAGTCCACCAAGTTCAATACACCTCCAATCTTTTTCTAAATGCTGCGTAGGTAGAATGTATAATTTCTTCATTTACTTGGGCAATAGCTTCAAATTCAAATCAATGTGTTTCAAGAAATCAACATTGTGCTGCACTGGTTCTCTGTACACTCTTTCTTTCAAGAAGCCCCAAAGGAAATAATCAAAATACCAATAATTTGTAGAAGGCAATTGTTATCAATAATTGTTTGACATTAGTTGTGACATTAGGTGTTGATATTCAATTTTATTCAAATAAAGCTTACTTTACAGCATCGCATTTATCTTGTTAAATGTTACGGTATCGGTAACATTTCTTATAGCCAAGCAATTGAATTGTTTCATGAAAAATATCCAGATGTTAAAGTTACCCGCCAAAACCTGAGAAAACTAATTCGAAAATTTGATTTAACTGGTGATGTAAAAAACGTAAAAAGGTCAAAAAAGAGACACGATGACGATGATGCAGCCACAATACTAGTTTTGAATTCGGTAGAAGAAAACCCGAGACTATCGCTAAGGAAGATATCTAAACAAATCGATGTTAGCAAGACACATATTCAGAGGATTTTGGTAGAATATAAGATTAAGGCTTTCAAACCAAAAGTAATTCACACTCACAGTTGGTGATGATGCACATCGTTTGGAGTTCTGTTTAGAGGAGAAAGGATTATGGTAGATAGACATTTTCACAAAAATATAATTTTTTCCGATGAAACCACTTTTTCTACCAATGGAGTGGTATCGTCGCAAAATTGTCGTTTTTGGTCGCAAGAAAATCCTTCCTTTACAGTTACTTCAAGAAGTCAAAGGTTCAAAAAAGTAAATGTTTGGTGCGCGATTACTTTCTACCGAATAATTGGGCCATACTTTTTTGAAGCAAATTTAAATCAATATACGTACCTTGAGATGCTTGACAAGTTTTTCTGGCCAGAATTAGAAGAAGAACATTTGGAATATAGACAAAAAGCGTATTTCCAACAAGACGGATGTCCCGCTCACTCAACAATTCTAGTCCGCAATTGGCTTAACAGAAAATTTCAAGAGAAGTGGATAGGAAGATATTGTTGGCCAGCAAGGTCCCCTGACTTGTCGCCGCTTGATTATTTCCTTTGGGGATTCTTGAAAGAAAGAGTGTACAGAGAACCAGTGCAACACAATGTTGACTTCTTGAAAACAAGGATAATTGAAGCTATGGCCCAAGTAAATGAAGAAATGATACATTCGACCTACGCAGCATTTAGAAAAAGATTGGAGAGGTGTGTTGAACTTGGCGGACTTCATGTGGAATAGTTTTGTAATGGCGCGTACATACTGATTCTGCTGTGTTCTCAAGATAAATGTTGGATTAATGTTTTTGTGGTTTTTGATCCCCCTGTATAAAAAATAAATTATTAATATGCAGACATGTGTATCTGTTTTTCAATAAAGCAATATTTTTTAATTAGAATGGCTTCTCCGAAAGTATTAAAAAATAAATAGGGTCCTAGAATATCCTAGAATGTCGAGTATTAACTAGAAGGTCATGCTTTCATATTTAAACACAAAATTTAATTCCAAGCAACTTGTTCCCATCACTTTTTCAAGTAGCGTTAAGATTTAAGGACCTTTACTCTTTACTGTTTTTACCTTTTCCAAATTTTTGAACACCCTGTACATTAAATTAAACAAATGACTATCTTGCCAAGTGCTTCTGGACAAGCAAAAATTTTTATGAAGAATTTTTTTTGACAATTGAAATTTTGTATCCATTTCAGGTATAGGCAACCCGAACTGGGGACACCCTGTATATATATATATATTGAGATGAAACCAGATTAATGGGATAAAAATAAAATTTAAATTTAAATCGTTATGTAAAAGGCAAAGTGGCAAAATCAATGGTTGGAATAGTTATTATAAAATTTATGATTGAGTTGATTATCATGTTAGTAAATAGATAGAAAATAAGTTAGAATAAGAGGTAATAAATGATATTAAAAATGAAAGACAATTTGTAGATGAATTAAAATATATGTCAGAAAAGTGTCAAATTTAAAGTAGAATACACAAGGATTATGTAGTTATTAGAAAGGGCAAATAATATGAGAAAATAAAAAAATATTTTGAAGTATAAGATAAAATTGAATGTAAAGAAAGTAGAATAAGGTGTATAAGTGAATAAGAGAAAGTGAAGTGAAGTGAATTATAAGAGTAAAAGGACACGTTCAAAGATATGTGGAAAGGCCTTTAGAGAAAAAGAAAAAAAATCAAGATAGTAAGAAAAGAAGAGGATTTATTGATTAGTTACAAAAATAATTTTGAAAACGACAGTTGTTAAAAGTAAGAAAAGAAAACCGAGAGAAATAGAAGCAGTTAAGAAGCAAGAAAAGGGAAAAAGATTCAAATAGGAGAAAACAAGGAATTAAAATAATCAATTGGAGAAATAAGGTATTTACGAAATTCGAGACAAGCGGATCCTCCACAAACCAGGTCCAGGGAGAGATAAAGAACGCAGAACAACAGTAGCAGAGTTCATAGACCAGTAGGAGAGTCAAGAGAACAGGAAGTAAACCGCATATCATTGGCATAGGAAAGAATCGAGATAACAAAGTAAAGGAGAGAAGTTAATCAACACATCTTTAACGATTATAAGTATAAAAAGGTACCTCTTATAATAAAACAAAATCGTATACGATATATAATACAGAAAACAAAAATTAATATAAAACGTTTAGTAAATCACCAATTCACTATCAAGTAAATTTATCTAATCACTTCATATTTATTTAAAACTGGCCAAGTCTTTGTAGAATTAAATATTAATAGTAGAGAAAATTAATAAGTATTAAACAAGAAGTTATTACTACAGTGTATTAAGATATGCAACCAGTATTGCATGAAATTTAAGTTAATGAGATTAGTAATATAACTTCTTGTATAAGGCTTTATCAACATTGTAAAATACTTCAAAATATATTTACTAGTGTGTTTAAGAGGGTAGAGTGACAAATTTTGACATATATAAAAAATTTATAATAAATACATTTATTACTAAACCTTTTGTTTTTGTAGCTGTGCTTGGTGTGGTTTCTTGATAGAACATAGAACCGACTACGGAGATAGAGTCTAGAGCTAGATAGGGCAAAGATAGACAACACACAATACACCAATCTAATCAAAATTAATATCAAAACTAATAAAATTTAATTTGGCGCTAACATATAAAACCATACACACATTCAATCATAACAAAATAGTCGTCCGAACGTGGGGCTCGAAGAAAAGTGAAGGATAGAAGAAGAAAAGGCAAGAAGAAAAAGTAAAGACAAGAATAAAACTAGAGAAATGGATCTTAGAAGTGGAAAACAAACTGGAGAAGAATCAAGTGAGTCTTTATCAGAGCAAGAAACGACAATGGAACCAGCACCAATAACAGGAAGAGGAAGAAAATCGGCAATACAGACAATGTTAGAAGATATGATGAAAACTATACAAGAAGATAGAAAAAGACAAGAAGAAGATAGAAGAAGACTAGAGGAAACAATAAAACAAGGTAGAAAAGAAGATTTACAAAAATTAGAAGAAGGTAGAAAAGAAGATTTACAAAAATTAGAAGAAGGTAGAAAAGAAGATTTACAAAAATTAGAAGAAGGTAGAAAAGAAGATTTACAAAAATTAGAAGAAGGTAGAAAAGAAGATTTACAAAAATTAGAAGAAGGTAGAAAAGAAGATTTACAAAAATTAGAAGAAGGTAGAAAAGAAGATTTACAAAAATTAGAAGAAGGTAGAAAAGAAGATTTACAAAAATTAGAAGAAGGTAGAAAAGAAGATTTACAAAAATTAGAAGAAGGTAGAAAAGAAGATTTACAAAAATTAGAAGAAGGTAGAAAAGAAGATTTACAAAAATTAGAAGAAGGTAGAAAAGAAGATTTACAAAAATTAGAAGAAGGTAGAAAAGAAGATTTACAAAAATTAGAAGAAGGTAGAAAAGAAGATTTACAAAAATTAGAAGAAGGTAGAAAAGAAGATTTAAAAAGATTTGAACAAGGAAGAAAAGAAGATATGGAAACAATGGTAAAAGTAATTGAACAAAAAGTACAAGCCATCAAGGAAGAAATTCGACGGGAAACACAAACATGGAAACAAGATTTAAAAGAGGATATGGAAAAGACAGAACAGGAGATAGTAATGGTAGCGAATAAAACTATGGAAATAGAAGAAACAATGAAGAAACAGGAACATGAAATGAGAACTATTGGACGAAACGTTGCGGAAAATACTCACAACATTGAACATGTGAAACGACAGGTAGAAGATAGAGTA